GTTAGGTTTTAACCCGGTCGCTATTTTCCATTCATTAGTCAGTAATATTTGGTGTATAAACAACTGGAGGTGTTAATCTAAGGCCTGGTGGCAGCTTTAAATTTTTTTTTTTTTTTTTTTATACACTTTTCCTGGGTCATGCTTGATTTGATTTAAAAAATGTCCAGATGGGTTTTGTTGGCCCCAGGGCCTCTCAAGCTCCCTGACTGCCATGGACAAGATTAGTCAGGGAATGTGTCTTTTTAGCCAAGCCAAGCACACAAATCCGAGATGTAGAAAACTAGTAGACGATCCGGTGAAGAAAGAGTCTGGAGAGCGCAAACAGAATACGCAGAAGAAATTAACTTTGATTTGGGATTGCTGAGTTTTAAAACAGAGAGTAAAGTTTTATAGCTTTTAATTTTCCTGCAATGATCCATCAAAAGTAATCTGTGAGCATCTGTGGCAGTGTGGGTCGTCTCACATCAATGTTTGAACAACTGCAGCAGCGTCTGGGATTAACCCCATCCTGTCCTGATGGCCGCTGGTCTGTCTGCATCATGCAGCTCAGGGACAAATATGATCCTAAAGCTTTAAAAGCCCAATCGTCTCCGTCCGGCTTCCATTGTCAGACATAAAACTAGCTTTAGTTTAATGCAGTAAAATCTGTTTTCCTTTGATTGGCACAACTAGTCTGGGGGAGAAAATTAAAAATTCAAAAAATATCCACTGGACTTGGTTTTCAAGATTTGAAGACGTTTCGCCATCTCTCCAGGAAGCTTTCTCAATTCAAATGTTTTAGTTTAGTTTTGTAAGAAAAATAGACTTTAAATTACCTCAACAGGTGTTTATCCCTTTAGTCATGGAAAAAAAAAAAAAACAATTTAAGATGAGATCTCCATACACTTCAAAAAAAACCCCAAAAATTAAGTAATTAAATTGTTTTTTTTTTGTATTTAATAAGGGATTTGATTACTTTTAAAAAACATGAAATTGTCCAGAAAGCTGTTCCAAATGAAATTTCTTTTTGTTTTACACTTGTGTAAACAAAATGAAAAATAAATCTAAGTCTAAGGATACACGCCCGTTGAGGTAGTTTAAAGTCTATTTTTCATACAAAACTAAAGGAAGAAAACTAAAGGGATAAACTAAAGGGATAAATAGGTATCAGGTGTCCTGGTCCAACCGGGTACGCTCATCTGACAGAATGGCAATTTACTGGAATTAATGATACACGAATATTTAATATATTCAACCCAACAGTAATAAAAATGCCCTATAAAAGTTAAGAAATGTGGACATATATGTCTCTAAACACCATGGACCAATAAAAACCCAAGATTTAGTGGGTTCTTCTGTTTAATGGGACTCAGAAGCTTCTTTTCCTTTTCAGAGCTCGATTTAAAGTCCAGATTTTCAAGTAATATGACCCAGCAATGATTAGATCTATATTTACCTTGAAAAAGCTACTAGTATATAATCAAAGCATTAGACGAGGAAGTAGAAAACACAGATATTTCCAGAATTTTCATGTTCTTTGTTATTGAAAATTATTTCTTTTTGAGAGTTTTTCACAATCTGTTGTTTGGTTAATATTTATAGGCTAAATCTCAGCGTTTGTCTAGATTTTAGTATCTGCAAACCCTCACCAGTAGGAGTTACCGCTTATCCAAGCAGAGCTGTCCATGTAGTTACAAGTTTTCCTTGGTGCGAGGTGCCAAAAATCTAACTACACTGATGCTGGAGAAGCTAAAATGATGTGGTTTGGCTTTTTAGACGCGTCAGTCACAGACCTGCCTCTAATTCAATCAATAGATCCACACAATGGTATGCTTCGTTTATAATACAGTAAGCAAAGATTAAAGTCTTGATTACATCTACTAGAAAATGAAGAAAGTCGTGTTTGGGAAACCTTGTACTAAGGTGTTGCTTGTTATATAACGTCTTATTGTATCTGAAGATTAAAGC